AATCGTCTCGATAATGTATCGGTAATAATATAATCTTTATCGAAGATATATCGGACTTTAAAATCGAAAAGATTAATTTAAGCTAGCTAGCGTATAATTAAAGCCGAAAGTATATCGATAGCTTTTCGTCGAAGCTAAGCAACGAACACTTTAACGTTAGTCTTAAAAATAAAGTGCACTTCGATAATCTATAACTTAAGTTTCTTAAAGACTTTAAGTATTTCGCGGCACTTTCGTTTAATAGCGTTATAATTCCGTTTTGCTTTTATTTAAGCTTTAAACTCGTATCAAGCCGGTTGCATTTTGCTAAAAGTAGTCTTGCGTTAGCCGATATATTTTCTTTATCTTTTTAAGTTAGCGTCCGTTTTTATTATTATCTTTTTATTTTAGTCTTCGTAATCGATCTTAATTAAAACCGAAGCCGTCGTTAAAACGTTTTATAACATTCGCATAGCTTTCGAATGCGCTTCGGTTTATTGCTAATTTACATTTTTTTTTATAAAGTTATAAAAAAAGTTAGCAATATATACGAATCTTTTAATTTAAATGCGAAAGTAAAAGCAAAAGCTTAAAAATCTTTTAACTTTAATAACGTTTTCGAAGGTTTTTTAATTATTAATCTTAATAACTTTATCCGCAATAAGTTTTCGACTTTTCGAATTGCATATAAATCTTATTATATTTATTTTATTTCAGTAAAACTATGATTTTTCTTCGATTATAATATTAACGCGCTTAATCCGTTTTAAAATCTTATTAATATTTTAAATATATTCGAATACGAATCGGCGTATACTCGAGAATGCTTTTTCGTCGGAATAATCAATTTATAATCCTTTTACTTTAATATCGTCGATAAATAGCATAAAGACTTTAAGTTGCAAAGGTCTTAAGATAAAATTAATTATTTAAACGAATTAAGCTATCGAGTTTATAATACTTTACGAAAAAGTAATACATCGAAAAAGACTTAACGATATAAAGAAAGCGGTAAAGTCTTTATTCGACTAATAAAGTGTTTGCTGATTATAGCTCGAATAAAAATCGATTAAGCTAATTATTTAATAATTAAAAAACTCTTTAACAAACTTATTTATAATTAAAAGTAGATTAGCGTCCTTTCGTATAACTATATTAAGTAAAGTTGTTAAGTTGATAAGTCGGTATTAGCCCGGCTGCTTTTTAGCTATTAAAAACTATTGATTCCGGTACGGTCTTTCGCAATACTTTCAAACTCTTTTATCAAGCTTGTTTTAAAGCATTTTAATAATAATAAGTTATAAGGCTTTCGGATACGAATAATTAAAAGCTTGCTAAGCCGTGTATAAAATGGTTTTAAGCTTAATCGATAATAAAACGTCGTCGTAAAACTTATTGCACTTTTGCTAAGCGAATACGATTGATTTTTTTTTGTTTAATATTATCTTTTTAAACAAATCCTTTTTTTTAAGCCGTAAAGTATTATTAATATTTAAGTTCGCTATACGTTCGAGTATGATTCGAAAGCTTTTCGATATATTAATAATGCGCGAAAAGAAGTATTGCTTATATTCTTTTACTTATTTTTATAACGTATCTTTAACTTTCGATAACTCGTATTAATCAACTTTGCTATTTAATACTGCTTTTACGCCGTTTGCTTCGTTAATTAACTTGATCTTTTTATTTTTAATCTTATATATACCGAATACTTTAATCGAATTTAAAAAGATCTTTTTTCGAGTTCGATAAAGTATCGAATTTTAATAATTAATATAATCGTAGCAGCGGGTCATAAGGTTATCGATGCTAACGGTATTTATTTAATAAGTTATTAAAAGATCGTATTTTATAAAAGCAAAAATATCGATAAACTGCTTTTAAATAATAAAGTCGTCTTTTTTTTAATACTGCAACGTTTCGCCTTCGAAACTAAGCGAATAGCAAGAAGCTTTTAATATATCGACTTCGGCGCTTTTAACGAAGCCGGTTATTAGTTTTCCGAGTCGCTGCCGTTGCTACTCGAAGACTTATCGTAATAGATAAAGCTTATATTCTACTCTTTTAAGCGATCGACGGCTTCGTTATATTGATTTGTTTTATCGTTTACTTTAGCTTAAGTAATTTGGCTCGTAAACGGATTAGTAATTATTACAATAACAAAGCTACTTTTATAGTTCGAAAAGTATCGAAGACTTATTTTTACTTTGCGTATAAAAAGGTAACCGAATATAAATCGAAATCTTAACGAATTTATAACGTAAAATCGAGTACGGATCGTAGCACTTTCGATATTAATAAATACGTTATCGGCGTATTTAATAAAGCGTAATAATAAATCGATGATTGTTCGGAAGCTTATCTTTTAATCGTAAGCTATAAAGACTTCGAATTTAACCGCAGCGTTATAAATGATAACGTTAACTTTTGTATTTATATCGAATATAACTCGCGTATTAATAATAAAAGATTATTCGAGTATATTAATAATAACTTTAAGAATTAGCGAATAATAATAAAAGTATTTAAAAAATAGTTAGTTAAACGTCGAAGCTAAACCGATATCCGTTAAAAGAAGTTCCGTATTACTCTCGATTAAAGTTCGCAAAGTACGCCGATCTTTACGAATAAACCAATCGAAAAAAAGATATTAAAATTAAAAAACATCGTAAAATACAATTGTAAAAAGAATCAAGATAAAGCCGATAATAAAAATAAAGCAGAACCGCTTTTAAATCGAAAGAGCTTCGAATACGAAAAGCGTATTGTGGTGGAGTTGGGGCTCTGTATTTGTTTTGTCCATGTATATAATACTGATGCTAGGCACCTTTGTCACGTGAGTGCGCTGCATGCTCTGGCCTTGCTAAGCACGTGGTTAGGTCACGTGCAAGCTCTTATATAAACGAGTAGTTAGTTCTTCTTTGAACCAACACCACCTTATCACTACACAATACAATACACGTACTCATAGCACACATTCGAATGTCCTTCGATCGTCCTCTTTCTCCTTTCTTATTCACTTACGATTCTACTATAGCTATATTCATATATATCTCTTGATTTAACGTTAAGTATATATCGGAGCTCTTCCTTTCTATATATATTTAATAACTTACGCAAAGAATCGAACCAAAGGTTAGTCTTTATACCCCCTTTAGACTTGCTTTTCTTGCGAGAAGCTATATATTCGGAGTTCACGTCATACGCTAAGCTATTAACCATATGCTTTTACGATACTCTTTCGAAAAGTATTCGACACACGCTAAACTAACAATCAAGTGCTTTTGCATATAAGCTTCAAAGCTATTGCTTTAAAAGCGATCTTCTTTCGATTTATGTCCGTCGAGCATGTTATTCAATATACTCGATAAGTACTATTTAAAAAGTCGTTACTTTAGTTCGAAGATCGAGCTAGCTAGAGTTTAATTCGGTATCTATAAAGTACTATTCATTTAAACCACTTTGCACGGCGATACGCCCGAAGTACTATTCGTTTAGTATACTTCACCTTTTCGATTCAACATCGATTTTAATACAAGTCTATTATTCTTTCTTCTTTAAAAAGGTAAGCAGTAGCTAAGTACCGGAAATACTACGCCAAGCTTAAGAGGTTGAAAATTCAATATTTACTTCGCAACGGAGATTACGCATAAAGACTTCGAATTGCTTTCGATTATCTTTCGCTTTAGCAAATAAAAAATACAACAAGCGGAAATAAGTGTTTGCGATTCGGAACCGTTTCGGTATCGCATTATATTAAAAGCAAGCTATATACTTGCACGAAAGCTCGGCTATTACTCGACCTCGTTTCTATTTCGATACACTTAATCTCGGCAATTACTTTTCCGCTTATTACGGATCTTGCGTTATAAAATTAAACGTATTATTAATATCGTCTATTATATCGATTTGATTTCGATTATCTAGCTCGACGCGATCGACACTCGACTCTTTAATAAATCACTTTCGACGCATCGAGATCTTATATTGTGGAGGGGAAGAGCTCCGACATATACCCAACGTCAAATCAAGAGATATATATGAATATAGCCATGGTAGAATCGTAGGTAAATAAGGGGGGAAAAGGAGGACGATCGAAGGACACTCGAATATGTGCTGTGAGTACGTGTATTGTATTGTGTGGTGATGTGATGGTGGTTCAGGGAGGAACCAACTACTCGTCTATATAGGAGCCTGCACGTGACCTAACCACGTGACCTAACCACGTGCCTAGCATCAGTACTATATACATGGACAAAACAAATACAGAGCCCCAACTCCACCACATACGTCCCCCCTTCGAATCAGACTCGCCCTCGAGTCACCTCCTATCAAGGTGGTGGGGTTAGGTTTGCAAGACGAGCATGTGGCCGAATAGCACGGTCGCAACATAGTCCCAAAGTACTACTTAATAATGCATCGCCGGATCGGTGTTAGTACGAAGCGTATATAATATAACAAAGAAGATAAGAATAGCAACGAAAATGCAAGATAATCCCTCGGGTCTAACTCCTTCTCATATCCTTTGTAGCATTCTTATTCAATTACAAAAAACAATATCAACTCGAGCGTTGGTATTGTTGTTAAAACAAGCGTGCGCCGGTTTAGGCGGTCAGATGGTAACGCATTGCCGAATCGGTAGTAGCGCGGGGCTTAAAGCGGTAACGTAACAAAGAAAACAAAGGCGGCAATATACACTCGAGGTCTTGTTATAAATAGTCAACCTTCTTCTTATATCAACCTCACACCTTTTTATCTTTCTCTTAGCATCACTACTTACCAACTTTATCCTCACTATTATATTATCGATCTGCTCTCGGTGCGTAAGCTACGCAAGCAGAACCATCGATAATACTGCGAGTCGATGCATCTTCTCCGCCGACAAATCTATCAAATGCAAGCGTTGCCGTGCTATTAAGTCAACTTGCATCTTCGTAAGTTATTTTACTTTTCGTCTTACACTCGTTTTGACTCCGATTCGATAGCTCCTTGCAGAAGTCGTTAGTGCCGGCATAGTCTTAATGGATGCGATGACGGCTATAAACAATAAAACTAAAACGGCCGACGACGTTTTTCGTAAAGGCACGGTTGCAAATAACCTCCTTATAAAGACCCGCCGTGCTCTTGCCTCTCGTGTTAGCGATGCTTCTTCCTTTCTTCGAGCCCGTATCGCCGCTGCTTTCTTTGCCGCCGTTAATGCTAAAGGTCCTTTAGCTAGCTTAAGTCTCGTCCCGGCGTTACGCTTACTTGCCGCCGCTGCTACCGCCGATCCAGCTTCGCTAGACTTGCTGCGTCAGATCTTAGCTGCAATAGATCGAAACAATACTTTGCTAAGTAACTTTCTTAGCCGCGTAAGTGTATGTTGCGAACCCTTTGTGATTCTCTTTCGATCTGACTACGATAGATTGCCGAAAAGTCTTCGTCTTCCTCATCTTCATCTTCGGAATCGCTAGCACTTTTTTAAGCAAAGAGGCTCCGCCGAAGTGCTCGTTAAGCTTTTAATCGCGGCAATACCGGTGGTTTCTTTTCGCAAGGTTCTAGCCGTAATAATACTCGTGGTTCTACGAAGGGTTCGAGTCGTAGCAATATCGGTGGGACTTCGAGGGGTAAGAGCAGTGCCCAAAGTGCTGCGAAGGGCTCTCGTACCATTCCATCTAGCCTTAAGTTATAAAGTCGAAAGGGTTTTTATCGCGTGTCGGCAGCTTGCTAAGTAGTTAATGCAATGGATTTTTCGTATGCTTTTCTTAATCAGCCTCCGAGTAAAGTCCGCTTTGTATATATGATATGCTCGTATATAGTAGATCGGGGGCATATAAGTGTAATGACGTAAGGCTCTTTAATACAAAGAAGGAAATAAAAGGAGTATAAAAAGAAGGAAAACAAGGAAAACCAAACTCAAACAAAGAAAAAATCAAAAATCAAATCCAAACTCGACCCCCCCCTTACGTATAGTCATGCCCTTATGACTTAATCACTCTTTATTGTCTTTTTATCACTGCTCACAAAGACTCTTACGTATTAGCTCCGTTGCTCCTTCGTAAGGCCAGGTAATCGAATGACAAATCTATCTGGGCGCTTGATCTAAGGGCCGGACTCGGCCACTTCATTTAATAAAGGCTGTTTTAAAGATCTCTTTATATAAGGCTTAAAGCGAAGTAGTAACGCTTCGAAGGTGTATCGCACGTAGAACTTCTTTAATCGACTGCTAGCAAATGTTCCGTCTAGTAAAGCCTCGTCTTCTTTTAGCTCTTTTAACTTGTAGTATCCTTTTGTATTTACCGACGAAATTTAATAAAGGCTAAGCCACCGAAAATCCAGCTTCCTAACGTTAGACATATCCACCTTACGTATCGAGTCGTGCTTAAGGACCAAGTCACTTACTTCTAAAGGTTTGATTCGGAAGTTCTTTTTATTATCAAAAGCATCTTTTTTCTCTTAGCGGCAGCGGGTTTTCTTAAGTATAGCCTTCGTAGCGTCTTCGTCTCGCATCCGGAACTGGCGTGCTTTCAATTCGATAAGCTTAGTACGATTAATTACTAGCTTTTGAAATAACGTAGCTTAAGACTAGATTCGAGTCTTAATCGGAAGCATTGCTTCTTTGCCGTATACTATATAAAAAAGGGTGAATCCGATAAGAGTATACACCGAAGTGCGGTCGGCGAATAAAACGGCTAGCAATTGCGCAATCTAATCGGTGCTTTTAAGCTTACTTAATGCGTCTTTAATTAGTCCGTAGCCGCGTTCTACCATTTTATTCGCTTAAAGGTGGTATGCTAAGACCACGACTCGATTGATTCTTTAATTGTTAAGTAAGTCGATTACCTCTTTTTTAAACTCCGAACCTCCGTCGATTGTTAACTAAAAGAAAATCTTATAGCGGCAAATAATGTCTTCTTAGATAAACTTAGCTACCGAGAGCGAGTCTCAGGTCCGAATCGCCCTCGCTTCGACCCATCCACTTATATCGTCTTTAGCAACAACTAAGTAGCTCTTGCTATTGCGTGCAAGTAGATAAGTGATATCGATAGCTTAACGTTCTATTAAGCTATTAGATCGGATAAGATGCAATAGCTCTTCGAGCTTATTAGCTGCTCGGTGCTAGCATTCTTTACAAGTCTTGACGAATCGTTTAACGTCCGTATAGCATCTATTCTAAAAGTAGCGCTAAGATACACGGTAGTAGGTTGATTCACGGCTTTTATAACTACTCTTATCGTGACAAGCTGTAATAATGTCCGTCTTAATCGAAGGCTTATCGACTATTAATCGGAAAGGAAGACCCTTCGTCGAGAGTCTCTAGAGTTTCTTATCGTTCACCCTGTATTTAATAGCCTCCCTTTTAAACTTACGGCATTCCACCTTATTCAAGTCCTTAAGTCTTCGTAAAGTCGTTAAGAAGGTAGCTATCCGAATTGATTCCGAAGAGTATTCGATTAGGTTCAAAAAACCTTCGTAATCGTAGTCGTCGTTAAACTCGTTTAGGTTTGCATTCTCCGCTTCTTTCGAGCGTTAAAACATATCCTTAAAGATAGATTAGCGAATATCTATTAAAGGGTCCGTCGAAGGTCTTTCGAAGCCGTCTCGAGCTTTAATAGATCTTAGGTCGGTTAGCAAGCTATTATCGAACTCATTCTTATCTTTTTCGTTTAAATCATCGGAGTGCCGTAGCCGTTTCGATAGTGCATCGGCAGCGGTATAATCTTTATTAAAGACATATCGGACCTCAAAGTCGAAAAGATTAATCTAAGTTAGCTAGCGTGTAATTAAAGCCGAGGGTATATCGATAGCTCTTCGTCGAAGTTAAGCAACGAGCACTTTAGCGTTAGTCTCGAAGATAAAGTGCACTTCGATAATCTATAGCTTAAGTTTCTTAAGGACCTTGAATACCTCGCGGCACTCTCGTTTAATAGCGTCGTAGTTTCGTTTTGCCTTCGTCTAAGCCTCGGATTCGTACCGAGCCGGTTGCACCTTGTTAAAAGTAGTCTCGCGTTAGCCGATATATTTTCCTTATCCTTCTAAGCTAGCGTCCGTTCTTACTATTATTTCCTTGTTCTAGTTTTCGTAGTCGATCTTGATCAGAACCGGAGCCGTCGTTAAAGCATCTTGTAGCATTCGTATAGCCTTCGAATGCGCTTCGGTCCATTATTAATCTACATTCTTTTTTATAAAGTTGTAAAAAGGGTTAATAATGTGTGCGAATCCTTTGACCCAGATGCGAAAGTAAGAGCAAAGGCTTAGAAATCTTTTAACTTTAGTAACGTTTTCGAAGGTTTTCTAGTTATTAATCTTAATAACCTTATCCGTAACGGATTCCCGACCCTTCGAATTGCATACGAATCTTACTATATTCATCTTATCTCGGCAAAACTATAACTTTTTTTTAATTGTAGCATTAGCGCGCTTAATCCGTTCTAAGGTTTTATCGATGTTCTAAATGTGTTCGAGCACGAATCGGCGTATACCCGAGAGTGCTTCTTCGTCGGAATAGTCCGTTTATAGTCTTTTCACCTTAATATCGTCGACAAATAGCATAGAGACCTTAAGTTGCAAAGGCCTTAAGATAAGATTAACTATTCGGACGAATTAAGCCATCGAGTTTATAGCACTTTGCAGAAGGGTAGTGCATCGGAAGAGACCTAGCGGTGTAAAGAAAGCGGTAAAGTCTTTACTCGACTGATAGAGTGTTTGCTGATCATAGCCCGAATAAAGGTCGATTAAGCTAGCTATCTAGCAACTAAAAAACTCTTTAGCAAACTCATCTATAGTTAAAGGTAGATTGGCGTCCCTCCGTGTAACTGCATTAAGTAGAGTTGCTAAATTGATGAATCGGTACTAGCCCGGCTGCTTTTTGGCTACTAAGAACTATTAATTCCGATACGGTCTTTCGCAATACTTTAAAACTCTTTTATCCAGCCTGTCTTGGAACATTTTAATAATAATAAGCTGTAAGGCCTTCGGACACGAGTAATTAAGAGCTTGCCAAGCCGTATGTAAGATGGTTTTAAGCTTAATCGATAGTAATACGTCGTCGTAAAACCTACCGCACTCTTGTTAAGCGAATGCGATTGATTTTTCTTTGCTTAGCATCATCTTCTTAAACAAATCCCTTTCTTTAAGCCGTAGTGTATTACCGACATCCAGGTTCGCTATACGTTCGAGTGTGATTCGAGAGCCTTTCGGTATGTCGGCAATGCGCGGAAAGAAGTATTGCTTGTATTCTCTTACCTGCTTTTATAGCGTATCCTTGGCTTTCGATAGCTCGTACTAATTAACCTTGCCACTTAATGCTGCTTTTACGCCGTCTGCTTCGTCAATTGGCTTAATCTTTTTATCTTTAGTCTTGTACATGCCGAACACCTTAGCTAAGTCTAAAAAGATCTTTTTTCAAGTCCGATAAAGTGTCGAATTCTAATAGTCGATATGATCGTAGCAGCGGGTTATAAGGTTATCGGTGCTAACGGCATTTATCTAGCAAGTTGTTAAAAGATCGCATAGATCGTATTCCGTAAAAGCAAAAACATCGATAAACTGCTCTTAGATAATAGAGTCGTCCTTCCCCCGATGCTGCAACGTTTCGCTCTCGAAACTAAGCGAAAAGCAAGAAGCTTCTAGTATACCGACTTTAGCGCTTCTAACGAGGCCGGTTATTAGTTTTCCGAGTCGCTACCGCTGCTACTCGAAGACTCATCGTGGTAGATAAAGCTTATACTCTATTTTTTTAAGCGATCGACGGCTTCGTCGTATTAATTCGTCTTATCGCTCACTTTAGCTTAAGTAACTTGGCCCGTAGACGGATTAGTAACTATAGCAATAACAGGGCCACCCTTATAGTCCGAAAGGTATCGAAGACCGATTCTTGCTTTGCGTATAAAAGGGTAACCGAGTATAAGTCGAAACCTTAGCGAATCTATAACGTAGAATCGAGTACGGATCGTAGCACCTTCGATGTTGATAGACATATTATCGGCGTATCCGATAAAACGCGATAGTGAACCGATGATTGTTCGAAGGCCTATCTCTTGGTCGTAAGCTATAAAGACTTCGAATTTAACCGCGGCGTCGTAAGTGATAACGCTGACCTTTGCACCTGTATCGAGTGTAGCCCGCGCATTAGTAATAAAGGACTGTCCGAAAATACTAACGATAACCTTAAGAGTTGGCGAATGATAATAAAAGTATCTAAAGAATAGCTAGCCGAACGTCGAAGCAAGGCCGATTTCCGCTAAAGGAAGTTCCGTATCACTCTCGTCTACGGTTCGCAAGGTACGCCGATCCTTACGAGTAAACCAATCGAAAAAAAGATGTTGAAACTAGAAAACACCGTAAAATATAGCTGTAAAGAAAGTCGAAATAAAGCCGATAATAAGAATAAAGCAAAACCGTCTTTAAATCGAAAGAGATTCGAGCGCGAAAAGCGTATTGCGTCGGCGGTGCTTCGTCTAGCTACTACGGATGTTCTTTTGCAATTAAAGCTTGGTCATCTAAAAGAATTCGAATAAACGTTTAAGCTAAGACCGTTAAGCAATAGCATTCCGATATAGGATCCGTCTTAGCCGGGCAAAGACTTGTGTAAGGTCTGCCTTTCCGATGATTCGGCCGTGAATCGAAGTAGCAAAAGAAAGAGGAAGGAGTAAATTCTTGCGATAAGGCGCTTTACTAATAAAGCGATCCGTTACTTTGCAAAATGGATCGCTATTAGATAAAAAGATATTATCTTCTTTTTAAATAAGTCTTTAAAGCTTCGAAGCAAGTCCGTCTTTTATCGGATCATCCGTCGCCCTCGGTATAAGCTTGCTACTTATGATCAGGCAATCCTCCGAAGCTTCCGCAACGCTAACCGTAGCTTAAAAGCAATTAATAGCGCTCTCGCTAATAAAGGTTTGCTAAATCATTTTATCGATTATACTTTCGGAAAAAGATCGTTTAAAAGTAGAAGGAGCAGCGAAGAACGCAATAGTCTTATCAAGAGTTAAGTTCCTTGGCAAATCGCGCCCTTTTAAGAGCTTAATACGAGTCGCTTCGTAGTCTATTCTTAAAAAAGAGATCACCTTGCCAAGCCTTTCGTATGATTTGACAGTCTTAAAAGGCTTGGCCTTAAGCTTAAGTGCAGCTTTAAAAGCTTTTAGCAATATAACGGGCAGATTCCGTAAGTCTTCCGATCGTGAAGCGTTTCGGTTAAGAATCGCGGTATAAGCGAGCTCGGGTTTATCTATTTCTATTAGCTCAACGAAAGTAACCTTAAGCTAGCTATAAATAGATTAGACTTTTGCTTTTGCCGAAAGAGCGTTTCTTAGCGGGTATAGCGTAACTCGAGAGGCCGCGTTGCGCGCTCGAGTCTTTACCGGTGCAATAATAGCTTTCGTATTAAACACGCGAGCATATGAATCCGTTAATATAATGCATCGTTAGCGAATCATGTCCGAAGTATTAAAGTCGTTAATACGAAAAGCTTCCGCATTGCCGCCGTTAGCTGCTCGAATAAGCGCTTTAACACGTTCTCGTGCAGCCTTTTTAATAGATTCTCGTTATGCTTTTAAAGCTTTATAACGACGCTTAAAATTAAGATCATTTATTGTCTTACGAACCTTTTTTAAAACTTGCTCGTACTTAAAGGTGTCGTTTCGGAACTAAAACGAGATCGATAATATTTCCTTTCGATACGGTTTTACACACATCAAGTCCGCCTCGTTGAAATAAAAAGCTAGTCCGTATTAAAGCATAAACAAGTAGCATTGATTCTGGTATTTGTAAAGCTTTTGTTAATAGCTAAGTAAGTCAGAAGTTTGCTAGCACTAACAGAAAATGCAATTAGAATCGTTTAAGGACCGTTTCCTCTTCGATATAACGTAGCTTCGGTTCGAATAAGTGTCGGCCGCATTGATCTCGTGGACCCGGTGCAAAGCGATCTCTTAAGTCTCCTTATATTAAGCAGCTTCTAATAAGTTCACATAAGCCTCCTTCGATACAAGAGCGAAGCTGTCGATGAGTCTTAAATGAATACTAACTTTCGCTAGCTGTTTTATAAAAGCTTCGATCCTTAGGTCAAGATCGATAAACGAGGTAATCGAACTTGCAGCGATGATGCTTGCGCGGTAAAAAAGAAAGGCATAAGTACTACCGGAATAAGTGCTATAAAAGAACGAAACGTATAAGTTTCGCTTGCTCTCGAGGATGACAAACGGTACTTAAGGACGAGAGTTTTCGTTCTAATAAAAGTTATAGCGAGAAAAAGCCTTAAGGATCTCGGCGTAGCCGTATTCTTTGATCCGTTCCGCAATAATCTGTTCTTGCTTGATTAGGTCGCTAACCATAGTATATACTATATTATACGTTTGCAAGTAATCCTTCTTAGGTTTGACGTTCTTTTGGGTCCGATTCTGCATCGATAATAGTAAGCAACCGAAGAACTTCTACTTTAGTTGCTTATCGGTAATATCTTTATTAGCGAGGCAAGCAAGGCCCGTAAGGTTGAACTAGCGGGTGAACTATAAAAGCTTTGCCTTAAAGGCTCCTTCTTTTGCTATCCACTTATTGCTCAAGTCGTTCAAGAAGCCAATATTATCTTTTTACTTAGCTAGGTCGAAAGCTTTGTACTCTTCCTTGACCATCGATTTGAAGTCGTCCCAAGTCACTTTCGGGTCCGAAAAGCCGCCGAAGCTCTCGATATTGCAACGGATGTTATAATCGAAAGGGCTAGAGATATTGTACTCAGCAAAGCATTGCTTCTTCTCCGAATCGGTAACGATACCGTAGTTTTTAAACGCTCGTTCGAGCTAGCGAATATAGTCCGTAATGTTGGCTTTATCGAAAGCAGGCATTCTAGAGGCTCTAGGTCCAAGGAGAGGTCCACGGATACTCACGTAGTTCGGGGCATTTACAAAGGATAAAAAGGCTTGAATCCTTTTCACTTCGTCCTCGGTTAGCTTGCGAATAGCATCCTCGCTAAGTCCGAAGTCTTTTTGAGTCGAAGAAGTCATAGCTCTTTTTGATTTCCGAAAGTTCTAACGTAAGGCCGCTAGGTTAAGTAGATAGATGTCGATTAAGGTATGAAAGTGTTTCGAAACGGATGCGAAGAAAGAACGAAAATGATGTAAATGATATGAATGTAAATGTGAATGAATAACAGAAATGAAATGAGTACAATTTGTAATGAATATTAAATACATAAAGAAATGTTGTAAAGATATAAGATCTCGATGCGTCGAAAGTGATTCATTAAAGAGTCGGGTGTCGATCGCTTCGAGCTAGATAATCGAAACTAAATCGATACAATAGATGATATTAGTGATACGTTTAACTCTTAAACGTAAAGTCCGAATAAGCGGAAAAGTAATTGCCGAGATTAAGTGTATCGAAATAAAAACGAGGTCGGTCACTAGCCGAGCTTCCGTGCAAGCATATAGCCTGCCTCTAGTATAATACGACACCGAAACAGTTCCGAATTGCATAACACTTATTTCCGCTTATCGTATCTTTCATTTGCCGAAGCGAAGGATGTTCGAAAGCAAATCGAGATCCTTATGCGTAATCTCCGTTGCGAAGTAAGTGTTGAATTTTCAACCTCTCAAGCTTAGCGTAGTATTTCCGGTACCTAGCTATTGCCCACCTTCTCAAAGAAAAAAAAGCAGCAGACTCGTACTAGAATCGATATTGAATCGAAAGGAGTGAAGTATATTAAACGAATAGTACCTCGGGCGTATCGCCGTGCAAAATGACTTAAGTGAATAGAACTTTGTAGATACCGAATTGAACTTTAGCTAACTCGATCCCCGAACTAAAGTAACGACTTCTTAAGTAGTACTTATCGAGTATACCGAATAGCATGCTTAACGGACACAAATCGAAAGAAGATCGCTTTTAAAGCAATAGCCTCGAAGCTTATATGCAAAAGCACTTGACTATTAGCCTAGCGTATGTCGAATACTCTTCGAAAGAATACCGCAAAGGCACATGGTCAATAGCTTAGCGTGTGACGTAGACTCCGAATATATAGCTTCTCGCAAAGGAAGCAAGTCTAAAGGGGGTATGAAGACCAACCTTTAGTTCGATTCCTTGCGTAAGTCACTAAATATATATGAAAGAGAAGAGCTCCGACATATACTTAACGTCAAATCAAAAGATATATATGAATATAGCTATGGTAGAATCGTAGGTGAATAAGGAGGGAAAAGGAGGACGATCGAAGGACACTCGAATGTGTGCTGTGAGTACGTGTATTGTATTGTGTGGTAATGTGATGGTAGTTCAGGGAGGAACCAACTACTCGTCTATATAGGAGCCTGCACGTGACCTAACCACGTGACCTAACCACGTGCCTAGCATCAGTACTATATACATGGACAAAACAAATACAGAGCCCCAACTCCACCACAATATCTTTACAACATTTCTTTATGTATTTAACATTTATTACAAATTATACTTATTTCATTTCTATTATTCATTCACATTCATATTATTCTATTATTCTCGTTCTTTCTTCGCATCCGTTTCAAGACACCTTTACACCTTAATCGACATCTATTAACTCAACTTAACGGGCTTACGTTAAAGCTCTCGAAAATCAAAAGAAGCTATAACTTCTTCGACTTAAAAAGATTTCGGACTTAACGAGGATGCTACTCGCAAGATAACCGAAGACGAAGTGAAAAGGATTCAAGCTTTTTTACCTCTCGTAAATGCTCCGAATTACGTAAGTATCCGTAGACCTTTCTTTAGACTTAAAGCTTTTAAAATGCTTGCTTTCGACAAAGCTAATATTACGGACTACATTCGCTAGCTCGAACGAGCGTTTAAAGACTACGATATCGTTACCGATTCGGAAAAGAAGCAATGCCTTGCTGAGTACAATATCTCTAGCCTTTTCGGTTATAACATCCGTTGCAATATCGAGAGCTTCGGCGGCTTTTCGGACCCGAAAGTGACTTGGGACGACTTCAAATCGGTGGTCAAGGAAGAGTACAAGGCTTTCGACTTAGCTAGATAGAAAGATAATATTAGCTTCTTAAACGACTTGAGCAATAAGTAGATAGCAAAAGAAAAAGCCTTTAAAGCGGAGCTTTTATAGTTCACTCGATAGTTCAACCTTACGAGCCTTGCTTGCTTAACTAATAAAGATATTACCGATAAGCAGCTAAAGTAAAAGTTTTTCGATTGCTTACTATTATCGATACAAAATCGGACTTAAAAGAACGTCAAACTTAAAGAAGATCACTTGCAAACGTATAACATAATGTATATTATAATAAGCGACTTAATTAAGCAAGAACAAATCACTACGGAACGGATCAAAGAATACGGTTACGCCGAGATCCTTAAAGCTTTTTTTCGCTATAATCTTTATTAAAACGAAAACTCTCGTCCTTAAGTACCGTCTGTTATTCTTGAAAGCAAGCGGAACTTATACGTTTCGCTCTTTTATAGCACTTACTTTAATAATACTTATCCTCCTTTTTTTTACCGCGCAAGCATTACCGCTGCGAGTTCGATTACTTCGTTTATCGATCTTGACCCAAAGATCGAAACTCTTACGGAACAGCTAGCGAAAGTTAATATTCATTTAAGACTCACCGACAGCTTCGCTTCTGTATCGAAAGAAGCTTATATAAACTTATTAAAAGCTGCTTAATACAGAAAGACTTAAGAAATTGCTTTGCACCGGGTCTACGAAATCAATGCGGCCGATACTTATTCGAACCGAAGCTACGTTACATCGAAGAAGAAACGGTCCTTAAACGACTTTAATTGTATTTTCTATTAGTGCTAGCAGACTTCTGATCTACTTAACTATTAATAAAAGCTTTATAAATATCAGAATCAATGCTATTTGTTTATGCTTTAATACGGACTAGCCTTTTACTTTAACGAAGCGGACTTAATGTATATAAGACTATATCGAAAAGAGATACTATCGATCCCGTTTTAGTTTCGAAACGACACTTTTAAGTACGAGCAAGTTCTAAAAAGAGTTCGTAAAACGATAAATGATCTTAATCTAAAGCGTCGTTATAAAGCTTTAAAAGCACAACGAAAATCTATTAAAAAAGCTGTACGAAAACGCGCTAAAGCACTTATTCGAGCAGCTAACGGCGGCAATACGAATGCTTTTCGTATTAACGACTTTAATACTTTGAATATAATTCGTTAGCGATGCATTACGACAGCGAATTCATATGCTTACGTGTTTAATACAAAAGCTACTATTACACCGGTAAAGACTCGAGCGCGCAACGCAGCTTCTCGAGTTACGCTATACCCGTTAAAAGACGCTCTTTCGGCAAAAGCAAAGGTTTAATCCACTTATAGCTAGCTTAAAGTTACTTTCGCTAAACTAATAAAAATAAATAAGCTCGAGCCCGCTTACACCGCGATTCTTAACCGAAACGCTTTACGATCGGAAGACTTACGGAATCTTCTCGTTATACTGCTAAAAGCTTTTAAAGCTGCACTTAAGCTTAAGGCCAAGCTTTTTAAAACTGCTAAATCATACGAAAGGCTTAGCAAAGTGATCTCTTCCTTAAGAATAGACTACGAAGCGACTCGTATTAAGCTCTTAAAAGAGCGCGATTTGCTTAAGAACCTAACCTTTAATAAGACTATTACGTTCTTCGCTGCTCTTTTTACTTTTAAACGATCTTCTTCCGAAAGTATAATCGATAAGATGATTTAACAAACTTTTATTAGCGAGAGCGCTATTAACTGCTTTTAAGCTACGGTTAGCGTTGCGGAAGCTTCGAAGGATTGCTTAATTATAAATAATAAGCTTATACCGAAAGCGACGGATGATCCGGTAAGAAACGGACTTGCTTCGAAGTCTTAACGACTTATTTATAAAGAAAGTAATACCTTTTTATTTAGTAGCGATCTATTTTGCAAAGTTACGAGTTACTTTATTAGTGAAGCGCTTTATCGTAAGAATTTACTACCTCCTCTTTCTTTTGCTACTTCGATTCACGGCCGAATCACTAGTAAAGCAAACCTTACATAAGTCTCTGCCCGATCAAGACGGATCTTATATAAAGATGCTATTGCTTAGCGGTCTTAGCTTGGACGCTTATTCGAATTCTCTTAGATAACCAAACCTTAATTGCAAAAGAATATCCGTAGCAGTCAAACTAAGCACCGCCGACGTAATACGCTTTCCGCACTCGAAGCGCTTTCGATTTAAAAACGTTTTTACTTTATTCTTATTATCGGCTTTATTCCGACTCTTTTTATAACCGTGTTCTACGGTGTTTTTTAATTCTAATATCTCTTTCTCGACTAGTTTACTCGTAAAGATCGGCGTACCTTGCGAACTATAATTAAAAGTGATTCGGAACTTCTTTCGGCGGAAATCGGCTTTGCTTCGACGTTTAGCTAGCTATTCTTTAAATATTCTTATTATTATTCGCTAACTCTTAAAGTCATTGTTAGTATACTCGGATAGTCTTTAATCACTAATGCGCAAGCCACACTCGATATAAGTGCGGAGGTTAGCGTTATTACTTATAACGCCGCGGTTAAATTCGAAGTTTTTATAGCTTACGATTAAAAGATAAGCTTTCGAACAATCATCGGTTCACTATCGCGCTTTATCGAATACGCTAATAATATGTTTGTTAATATCGAAAGTGCTACGATCCGTACTCGATTCTACGTTATAAATTCGCTAAGGTTTCGACTTATACTCGGTTACCTTTTTATACGCAAAGCGAGAATCGGTCTCCGATACTTTTCGGACTATAAAGGTAGTCTTGTTATTGCAATAGTTACTAATCCTTTTATAAGCTAAGTTACTTAAGCTAAAGTAAGCGATAAAACGAATCAATACGACGAAGCCGTCGATCGCTTAAAAAAGCAGAGTATAAGCCTTATCTACCACGATAAGTCTTCGAGTAATAGCAATAGCGACTCGGAAAACTAATGACCGGCTTCGTTAAAAGCGCCGAAGTCGGTATATTAAAAGCTTCTTGCTTTTCGCTTAATTTCGAAAGCG